TGATGATGTTTAGGAATAGTGTTGATGATGATGATGTTTAGGAATAGTGTTGATAATAATGATGTTTAGGAATAGTGTTGATGATGATGATGTTTAGGAATAGTGTTGATGATGATGTTTAGGGTTAGTGTTGATATTGATCATGTTTAGGGATAGTGTTGATAATGATGATGAGCCTGCTGCAGGGATTATTACTGAAACAGTTGGAAGCTACACTGATGAAGCTGGAAATATGGTTCGTGGAAATATTTTATAAAAAATCAACCCTGCCTCCCCTGTCATCAATTTTTTCTATTTGTCTTTTTCATGGAACGAATGAACAAATGAATGAACAAACGAACGAACAAACGAACGAACAAACAAACAAACAAACAAATGAACAAACAACGAATGAAAGAATGATCGAATGAACAAACAAATGTACGAAAGGAAAACAAAAGGACGAATGAATAAATGGATGACAGGAAGACAGAAAAAGAGGATAAAAAGTATGACAAACCAAAGGGGAGCATTCCCTTCATTCATATTTATTGCCCACAATGAATGAAAGGGATCTAAAAATGGTTGCATGGCTCGATCAAATTTTGTCGTATCGCTGGGATCATTAGGTTCAACTTGGTAAACAATAGAAAGATTTATCGCAAATGTCAAAATTAAAATCCAATTAACAACAGGGACTCCAAGTCTAGGCTTGACAAAGCAATTCCTAAAATTCATAATTTAAGTTGATTTGATTTGATGACAGAATGAATAGATGACAGGAAGAAAGAATAAATGATAGGATGAATGAAAGGATGGATGAATGAATAAATGAATGACTACTAGGTATGGATCTGTCCTGCATGTGGAAAGCAAGATGATGGATCTCCAATGATAGGTTGTGATCAATGTGATGATTGGTGAGTAATATTGGTTTAAAATTAGCACTAAACTAGTTCTCCCCTTGAACTTGGAAAAGGTCGATCAAAAATAATCGCATAAAACTACCGTATTCAGTGTTTCCAAAAAAAGTTTCAAAACCCATTTTGTTTTCCTTAACATTAAGTTAAGTATTATCCAGGTCAAAAAGTATTTTAAAAAAACACACTTAATTGTCAATTATTGAGAGATTATCAAAATCTTCAGAATATCTGAATGGTAAATTTTCTTTTGTAAAAATATAAATAGATATTCTTGATATTAATTTAGATTCAGGCGCATTTTTTCATAGAACGATCCCAGGACCAGCATTATAATATGGATCATTTTAAAATTCGGTAATGGTGATGGACCAAACCTCTGTAGAGTATATGGATCATAATTGCTTGTTTTGTCTAGGTATCACTGGTTGTGTGTTGGTATTAACAAACAACCTCTGGAGAACCAAGATTGGTTTTGTACAAGATGTATTGCTAAGAAAGGGGTAAGTTCTGAGTAAATAGGGTTTAAAACTTGATTTGAAATGATCCTCCACGCAAAAATGGCAGTGCCCGATTCACAACGGTACCTTTGACATTTTTATCTGCTCAACAATGTGGAAGATACACTATTTTTTCTAGGTGTTTAAGTGATTCATTCTGCTAAAAATTATCAGTTTTAGAAATTATAAATATCTATGTCTACTTCATAATTGATCAAATCAAGCTTTTAAGGGTATTTTCGTGAATTGGACATTGCCACCTTTGCATGGAGGGTCATTTCAAATTGAGGTGGTGGAGATTACCAATTGANCCTTCAAATTACGCTTACAAACCTTTTAAGAAGAATTTAAAAATACCCCCAACCAAAGATTTTTTGATATTGGGATAAAGCACCTAAAATGATATCAGTGGGATTTTGCGAGGGAAGAATGGTGAAAATGAAAATTAAATGTATTTATGATACAACTGCTCCCACCGTTCACCCGCGCTTAAATACCCGGTGTTGCCCATGGAATTTCAAAAATTTTAAAAAGCAATTTAGCTTTTATGCCACCCCCGGAGTTTCCATGAGTTCCATCAAAAAATTTCATAAAATTCAAAAGTTTTGTTGACTTTTTCTCTACTGACATTATTTCAGGGAATATACCTGGACCGGAAAGGACCGAAGAAGAAGAGTTAAATTATAAAATAATCATGTATTATATTTATATTTTCAATTTTTAAAAAATCATATTTAAAACTTATAATAACGGGGTAGTTGTATGTTATACAAAGATGTTAACAACAATTTTATCTCTTTGAAGAGATTATCGTATTTTTCTATGAAAAACTCGTTATTAGACATTTTACTTGTTAGTCTCACAAGATTTGAGAAAAGTAAATAACTATTTTTGTAAAATGTATTTTTACCCCTTTTTTATGATTGGAAAACTTGAATTGTAAATTTATTTCGCCATTGTAAATCATCGTCTTCGTATAAATACTCTTTTTTGTTAAGGCTTTTTTTGAAAAATTAATTCTAAATTGATGTTCGTTCTTGATGCAATTTGTTGTCGAAGAAATATTTTGACATTCTAAATGTTTAGGCAAAGATTTTTCGTAAACTATAATAATACTTATTTAAATGTTATTTTTTGTCTCCTGAAAAATTGTAAATTTAACGAAAATTATCCGTTTTGGTAATCATTCTTGGAAGAGTCTTTAATAGACCCTGTATTATCTTCTTCTTATTCTAATAAGCTTCCATTTATTTCAATCCTGTAACAATCAGTTTAATGTTTCAGATTCTAAAATGTTAGAATTCTTGGGGACGATATGGAGTTATGTAGACCCTAACAATACAGGATCTAATCTACTCCATTTCTTTAAAGGGTCCTTTGCCTCGACATTCCTCGTCGGACTTTTTGTATTTATTCTTGTCCAGAAATATCTAGAAAGTCGTCAAGATAATAAGACTCCCGAGGATAACTATTTCGCCGAGAAAGAAATCCGCGAAAAAGTTCAAAATGCGCCAAAGAACGACACAGATGGATGCCAAAGTGGTGGCGGCAGCTGTTGCCAGGGCACCGGTGATGGTAAATGTAGTAAATCCACGAAAGCTGTTGGATTACCTGATAAAGTTGTAGTTCTGTACGGTACTACAACTGGTAATTCTAGAAAGTTCGCTGAACAGTTGACAGAGAAACTTAATGGAAAAGGTGGAAATTGTACAGTATATCTAGATTGTTCTTAGTACTACTTATTCCCGGTGCGGGGGGGGCGGGACTTTGATGATGTGGGGGGGGGCGGAGTTGAAAAATTTTCATCAAAAGGGAAGTTTGCCATCCTAAAATTTTCTCTGAAAATCAATTTTTTCTCCAATTAAGCAACCACAAAAAATCATATAAACAATTCGCGCGAAGTGCGCACACCTTTAAGAGTTTTATAACTGATGGGGGGGGGGGGGGAAATTATTTCTAGAGAATAGAACCCCCCCCCATATTTAATGTGCACTTTTTCCCTAGAAACTTTATGACTGAACATATACATTGGCACTATACATTTTAATTATCTTTGCCGTTAATAATTGGGATAAAAAACTGAACAATTGACCTAATGAAGGGGTAACTACTACACCTGTGATACACCAAGACTGTGCGCAGTACAGTACAATGATTGAGGAAGACTTCAAAAAGCTGGCAGCAGAGGGAGCTCTTGTGGTAAGAACTCCTACTTAAGTATTTAAGGGAAGGCTTCCAAATCCCACTTGATTCTGCACCGTAAATATCAGACCATGAAGTCAGAATTCTGGTGTTTTGAAACTCGGGACTAAGCAATGATCTACGGATTCATTTTAACAAAAAAAATTTATTCCTCGTCGATATCCACTGATTGTCTTACACTGCAGAAATAACTTTTATTGCCGGATAAAACATTGATCCTTTAATTTGTAAGAGTCCACATTGGATAGCAAGATCAAGCGTTCAAGATAACCAAAATACAAACAATATTTCCGACCTCAGAACGTTTTAACTTCTAAGCTTGAGCATCTTATTCTTGTAATAGTTTCTTGCTTTAACTGCAACAGTTTTTTATCTTCCAGATTATTCTGATATCCACGTATACGGATATATTCCTAGATTATTCTCATATCCACGTATACGAATATATTTCTAGATTATTCTCATATCCACGTATACGAATATATTTATAGATTATTCTCATATCCACGTATACGGATATATTCCTAGATTATTCTCATATCCACGTTTACGAATATATTCCTAGATTATTCTCATATCCACGTATACAAATATATTTATAGATTATTCTCATATCCACGTATACCAATATATTTATAGATTATTGTGATATCCACGTATACGAATATATTTATAGATTATTCTGATATCCACGTATACAAATATATTTATAGATTATTCTCATATCCACGTATACCAATATATTTCTAGATTATTCTCATATCCACGTATACGGATATATTCCTAGATTATTCTCATATCCACGTATACAAATATATTTATAGATTATTCTGATATCCACGTATATATTCGTAATATATTTATAGATTATTCTGATATCCACGTATACCAATATATTTCTAGAGTATTCTGATATCCACGTATACAAATATATTTCTAGATTATTCTGATATCCACGTATACGGATATATTCCTAGATTATTCTCATATCCACGTATACAAATATATTTATAGATTATTCTCATATCCACGTATACCAATATATTTCTAGATTATTCTCATCGTGTATACCAATATATTTCTAGATTATTCTGATATCCACGTATACGAATATATTTCTATATTATTCTCATATCCACGTATACCAATATATTCCTATATTATTCTCATATCCACGTATACAAATATATTTATAGATTATTCTCATATCCACGTATACCAATATATTTCTAGATTATTCTCATCGCGTATACCAATATATTTCTAGATTATTCTCATATCCACGTATACGAATATATTTCTAGATTATTCTCATATCCACGTATTCGGATTTAATTCTATAGATTGTTTTGATATCCACGTATACGAATAGATTTCTAGATTATTCTGATATCCAAGTATACGAATATATTCCTAGATTATTCTCATATCCACGTATACTAATATATTTCTAGATTATTCTGATATCCACGTATTCGGATTTAATTCTATAGATTATTTTGATATTCACGTATACTGACATATTTCTAGATTATTCTTTAATACCCACGTTTATGGATATATTTCTAGATTATTCTGATATCCACGTATACGGACGGAACCCCTCCTGAGTCAAGTTCCTGGTTCTACACCTGGTTTAAGGATTATGCTCATGATTTTAGAGTCAACAGATCAGTATTTAAAGGTTCTAATTTCTCATTTATTTGTTAAATGCGTTTTCTTGTATTTTCGGGAGTCCCCCCCCCCCCCTCTCCCTTTCTTTAAGCCATTAAGTACCCCCCCCCCTCCGAAAAAAAACTAAGGTTTGATAAAAATGTAGATTGTTTAAACTTCTTACAATTATGTATGCGTTTTTATTTTCCGTCCTTGCAAATTTTTAAGAATTACAAATTGAGTTTATGAATCGACTAGGTTAATTCGGAGTCCTTTCTTTTTAAATTGCCAAATCATATTATCAACCTTTTTCAAAAAAAGGAATTTAATACCTCCATATTGTTTTTTTCCACAATTTTTGTTTGAATTAATATTCAAGTCATCTTGTCAGCATGATCCAATGTTTAATTTATATTTTAGTTTTTCTTAAATCTAATATTTTGATATTTAAGATTTGAAGTTTTGCATATTTGGGCTTGGAAACTCTCTTTACGCAGAGAATTTCAATAGTGTAGCAAAGGATTTGGATTCATTTATGCACCTGCTGTCAGCACAAAGGTATTAAGTTTAATTTAATTTAATTTAATTTAATTTAATTCAATTCAATTCAATTCAATTCAATTTAATTCAATTCAATTCAATTCAATTCAATTCAATTCAATTCAATTCAATTCAATTCAATTCAATTCAATTCAATTCAATTCAATTCAATTCAATTCAGTTTAGTTTAGTTTAGTTTAGTTTAGTTTAGTTTAATTTTATTTTATTTAATTTAATAATAACGTAGAAATTGATATTGAAGTTAAATATTGCTAGTTTTTTTTGCCTTTTTGCATCTTTGAATAATATTAAATGAATGTAAAGCCACAATTTGCCAGCTTTAATACTTGACAAATTTAACAATTTTCTTTAAAATTCTGTAACAAAAACAAGTCTTTTATATCGCTAGACAGAACTGCTGGAAATTCTGCAACCCTTCTTTAAAATTCTGTAACCAAAAAAACAAGTCCTTTACATCGCTAGACAGAACTACTGGAAATTCTGCAACCCTTCTTGAAAATTCTGTAACCAAAAAAACAAGTCCTTTACATCGCTAGACAGAACTGCTGGAAATTCTGCAACCCTTCTTTAAAATTCTGTAACCAATAAAAAACAAGTCCTTTATATCGCTAGACAGAACTGCTAGAAATTCTGCAACCCTTCTTAAAATTCTGTAACCAAAAAAAGACAAGTCCTTTATATCGCTTGACACAACTACTGGAAATTCTGCAACCCTTCTTTAAAATTTTGTAACAAAATAAAATAAGTCCTTTATATCGCTTGACAGAACTACTAGAAATTCTGCAACCCTTCTGGAAAATTCTGTAACAAACAAACAAGTCCTCTATATCGCTAGACAGAGAACTGCTAGAAATCTTATGCAACCTTTCTTTAAAATTTTGTTACAAAATAAAATAAGTCCTTTATATCGCTTGACAGAACTACTAGAAATTCTGCAACCCTTCTGGAAAATTCTGTAACCAAAAACAAGTCCTTTATATCGCTAAAGTCACAGAACTGATAGAAATTCTGCAACCTTTCTTTAAAATAACTGAACTTTTTTTTTGAGTTTCTCTCCATCTTAAAAAACAAAAACAAAAAAGTGTCATGTTCGATTCACAACAGCATCTTTAAAAGCTTTGTCTGATCAAGTAGGAATTAGATATCTATGTTATTGTTTTTAAAACTGTTAAATTTCATTTGTAGTTTCTCGTCAAAAGTGAATTTCTTGCTTCAGAAACAATGGAGAATTTATCAGAATAAATACTCAAACCAAAAATACGGCATTATCTTCAATATATTTATCAGATTTAAATGTAAAGTCATGTTGAATTAAGACAACAGTCTCCTTAAATTTCTAAAAATTGTTTTTTTTACATTTTTTTATGAATTTTTATAAATTGAGTTAATACAGTTAATACAGAAAAATTCTAATTTGATTATTCTCGTCATCCTCTCCTTCGTATATAATTTTCTTCTGATAATTTTGAAAAAAAAATATTTTTTGTCGAAACAAGTATTTTTTTTAAGTTTTGGAAATTGTTAATCTTGGTTCATCTGTTTAGGTTTCTTCCCTTGTGTCTCGGAGATGAAAACGTGCTTGAGAGTAAGAATGGAAGTATTGAGAAGGATTTTCAGGAATTAAGAAAATATAATTTTAATTAATACTGAAAAGAACTCTTGGGTCATTTGAATTATTTCGTGGACAACCCCATTAAAAACTTATTTTTTGCAATTATATTACCATTGTATTTTGCACTAGCTTGTGAACCCAGCCTTGTTTGGAAAACATTTTAAACTAAGCTAAGAACATTCCCGTGGTTCTACCAAGTTCTCCAATCAAAAGTTGAGACAAATCGGTCTATGGGTGGGTACTCGAACTATGATCGGACATCTTAACAAGCCAACAAACAAATATCAATTTAAGATTTTGTAAAATTTAATTTTAAATTTTCGAATTCTGAAGAGCTGGAGCGAAGAGGTTGAGAACAAGATATCGAGGAATAAAACTTGTTCTAATTTTAATTTTCCATTCTGAAGTCATAATTAATAGTTTTTTTAAAATAAAAACACTTTTTACTCTTGGCTCTTAATAATTGTATTATACACAGAAAATTGATATGCCTTGAATAGTGTTAAAGCTTATTCTAGCATGCGAAGACTGGAACTGGGGGCCGAACATTTTATGTTTTTTAATCCTGAAAGTAAACTTTGCCTTAAAATATGCCATCACTGTGCTCAATAATATCCAGAAAATATGTCATCTCTGTGCTCAATAATATCCAGAAAATATGTCATCACTGTGCTCAATAATATCCAGAAAATATGCCATCTCTGTGCTCAATAATATCCAGAAAATATGCCATCTCTGTGCTCAATGATATCCAGAAAATTGTCTTCGGCTTTAACATAATTTGTGCAAAGTACTGTTTGAACGTTTGAACATTTTTATTGAATTTCTCAGGTCTATGATTGAACCTAGCACTGACCTCTCACCCGAGGTATCAGACGAGGACAGTATTTCAGCCTCGGAGGGTGAGGAGGAGGATGAGGACGAGGATGCAGATGATGGATTGGTTGATCTAGAGGATCTGGGGAAGGTTATGAAGAAAAGAAAGAACCCTGAATCTGTTGGTCAGCCAAAGGTAAGCATGAAAAAATACAACTTCAAAATTAAAACTCATTTCATTCGTTAAAAAGCTATCTGTCCTCCAACTTTTCTTGTATGCAGTTTTATAGATTTCTGGTTTATGGAAAAGGAAGACGACATTTCAGCAAATTTATTTGTGTTTGATGTAATAAATCAAATGTTTTCACTAATAGCTTGAAATTCAAACTATTAAGTGGGATGGGTCTGTGCACACTGCACAATTATTATTACTCTCCACTTAACCCACTATTTCTTCGGTGAGAGTAAGTTGGAAGTGGCTGCAGTATACTGTAGTTGAGAGTGCAATGTTTCATTTTTATTCTAACATTTTAAATAATAACTAAGTAATAGTAGTATGCAGTACTTTTCATAACGTCAGTTATTTTGTTAAAATCATATTAAGTCTAACAGTCGTCTTCGTATTCCACAGTTTTATGGGTCTGTGCTAAAAACTTATGAAGAATTACTTTATTTCATTGTTTATGTGGTCCTAGAGAACAAAATCTGATTTGATCTTGTAATTGTAGGAGATGGTAACAGATCAACTACGTAAGAGTTTAACTAAACAAGGATATAAGATTATTGGATCTCACTCAGGAGTTAAACTTTGCAGGTAGACATCAATCATCGCTGTAAAGGGACTGTAAGCTTAATTACAAGTGACCCTCAATGTCCGATAAGCAATGTTACCCCTGAAACCATATTTTGATCAAAATTGTGGAAGAAAGTGTTAGTTTCTGTGAGTTTCTCCATTGCTTCTTTAACTAGAGCAATGTGCCAGTCATTTTCGCGGAGAACCCGTAAATGGAAATAAACAGTTTGAAGTTACAAAAACGTTGATATCTATTTCATACTTGATAAGATAAATCTTTTAAGGTTACCTTTGTAAATAGGGCATTGTCATCTTTGCATGGAGGGTCTCTAGAAATTACGCTTACAGACCCTTTATTCTACTTGTAATCCTACCACGACATCGGGGTCTTATCGGGTTGAAATATCAGACATATCATAAAAGTTTTACTTTTATAAAATGTAAAGTTCAGTTGACTTTACAGATGTGTGATATTAATTTTTTCCTGTACTTGATAATTAATAATTAAACCAAAGCTTCGTTTCTAAGAAATATCTGAGTACGTTTCTTGGCTGAATAAGGTCGGTGCTATTGACTTAAAGGGACAATTGTTTTGTCCGCTAAATTTCTCACCCTAGAATCTTATCTGATAGATAGATAATTAGGACATCACAATCAGAGACGTCCTTTGGTCTACTTTTGTAGTGTCCACAAGAAACTGCCGCTGAGGAACATTCAGTAGTTCTTTAATTCTTCGCTAGATGTAGTTAATGTATTCTAGATGGACCAAGGCAATGTTGCGAGGTAGAGGAGGATGTTATAAACATACTTTCTATGGTATTGAGTCTCATCGTTGTATGGAAACTACTCCTAGCCTAGGTAAGCTTCAAGTAGGAGGGTAAGGAAATGTTAGTTGATCCCTATTATGATCTTGATCCCTTATATTATGATCCCTTGATCCCTAAGATGATGATATCTTGATCCTTAAGATTCATTCCTTGATCCCTGAGATCCCTTGATGATAAGATGATGATTTTGATCTTGATTCCTAAGATTATGATCCTCTGATCCCTGAGATGGTTATCCCTTGATCCCTAATATGGTGATCCAATGATCCCTGAGGTGATGTTTCCTTGATCCTTAAGTTGATGATCCCTTTATTTTTTAGATTAAAATCCCTTTATTGAATGGATTGATATCCCTTGTTCCCTAAGATTATGATTCCTTCATTCATTCATCCCTAGATCCTTCAAGTTCATTCTTTGATCCTTAAGATGGTGATCCATTTATCCCTGAGATGATAATTCCTTGATTAATAAGATGATGATCCCTTGCTTTCGAAGATAATGATCCCTTGATTCCAAAGATGATGATCCCATAATTCCTAAGATGATGAGCTCTTGATCCTTAACATTCATCACTAGATCCTTAAGATTCATCTTTTGATCCCTTGATACCTGAAATGATAATCCCTTGATCCCTGAGATGATAATCCCTTGATCCCTGAGATGATGATTCCTTGATCCCTTGCTTCCCAAGACTATGATTCATTGATTCCTTGATCTTATTGAATGGATTAAGATCCCTTGCTCCCTAAGATGATGATATCCTTAAAATTCATCCCTTGATCCCTAAGATGGTGATCCCTTTATTCCTGAGATGATAATCCCTTGATTGATAAAATAATAATCCCTTAATTGATAATCCCTTGAACCTTAAGATGAAGATCCCTTGATCTCTGATCCCTTAGATGAAGATCCCTTAGATGATGAGTCCTTCTTACTCTTTAAGATAATAATCCATTGATCCCTAAGATGGTTTTCCTTTTTTCCGAAGGGGATGATTTTTGATGAATACAAATAAAAAAATAAATCATATATTTGGATTTTGGATAGACTTAATTTTTTTGGCATTTTTAGTGCGTATTCTAACATGTTCAAACAAAACCAAAAAAATATAATTACACATCCAAATATAATCATTGCGTAATTATAATGAATGCATTTATATACATAATCAAAAAATACAATATAAAATGTGCAGTGTTTATAATGGAAACAAAACTTATAGATGCTAAATCAAACATATTTTTTATTGAAGAGTTTAAGTATTTAAATATTTATTTAATAATTTGTTAACTTACTAACATCTGCATTATAACTTTATTGCAAAAAAAAAATCAAATTTTTTTCGCTTTTAGCATGTGCAAATAAATGCGTATTCTGTTGGAGACATCACTCCAACCCTGTTGGAACAGAATGGAGGTGGAAGATGGATGATGCAGAGATGATCTTGAATGGAGCACTGGAGAATCATTATAAGATGATTAATGAGTTTAAAGGAGTGCCTGGTGTACTTCCGGAGAAATTAGCTGAAGGGATGCAGGTAGGTGCCTGGGATGGAATTTAAAGAATTTGAACCGTGGTTTAAATCCGCCAAAACCCGGTTTAAATTAAGCGCTGGCTTGAATCTTGAAACATTTGATACAATTTTAAGTGGAACCAACCATATTTAAACCGCGGCTTAAATTTAAACCGCCACTCAAATTCTATAAATTCGGCCACTGGTACAGTGTCTTGACCTATCTTGATACATCGACCATCACCACAGATTCATTTTCCTCAAAATATTTTAACCATAGTGTCCTCGGGGACCTAGACGCTCAGTGCCCCAACTAAAAGTTCATTTTTAACCTTCCCCCCCC